GGTCAAACTAGCCAATCATAGCATCAGAACTCTAAGCACATGAGAGAGAGTGGGCACCTCCCAGAACATTGTTTTTTGCCACTCCCAACAGAAATACTCCAGGTGGACAACTTCAGCAATCAGGAGCTCCTCAGTTGCTCATAGCAAATCCCACCTTGGAGTTTATAAACACATATGGGTAGAAAAGCCACACTAAGTAATTTATACTATACTGCAGGAATCCAGTATGTTGCTCAGATCTCTGCCTTAACTGCCTGAGTAGAAAGTGAGGAATATGGAGAATTTTGTTTTGGACCTAGTAAGTTCAAAGTGTCTGTGGGTCGGAGATACCTAGGAAGCAGTCAGATATCTAGGTTTAGAATAAGGGTGGGTTGGAATAGGATCTACATTAAAGACAGAGATACTGCAAGCCATAGGAATTGCTGGAATCCCCAGAGAAAGAGATTTGTGGCCAGAAAATAAAAGGAAAACTATGTCATGAAGGCCAAGGGAGGACAGAGTTTTAAGCAGAGAATGTTTAATAGAAATCAAGTAAAATCAGATTGAAAATTGAACACTGTATATAGTAGCAAGGAGGTCATTGGTTACCTCAGACCAATCCATGTTGGTGGATTGCTAGCATCAGAATCTTGGATTGTCCTGGTACAATGTTGATCCTTAAGTCTTGAAAATATTTTTCTTAGAACAGATATCCCATAGCACTTCTTAGAGCTTTTATTTAATATGCTAATGTGCATCATGAATTTTTATACAGGGTTTCTCAAACTTATTTGATCCAGGAACTCTTTTGCTGCTGCTTTAGCATCTTACGGGGCTACCATCGAACACATTTTAGGAAACACTGGAGTATACTAATTTCTCAGGAAGCTTAATGATAAAGAAGGGAGAAATGTAGGAGAGTAACCAGTAGAAATATATAACATTAAGAGTTTTGTTCTTTTAAGTAAGTTGAAACTTCCGAATACTTATAAGTGAAAGGAAATAAGCCAAAAGATTCAGAGAGGTTTTTATTAAAGGAAAAGTTCTTGGACTCTCAGAAGAAAGAAAGGGAATAGGATCCTGAGAGCAAGTTGAGCTTTGAACTGGCATAAGAAAGTAAAAAGGATACAGATAGCTGAGGCCAGTGAAGACAATTTACCCATTTAGTTAAGTAGAATAATACTTTGTCTTGTAGACAAAAAGAAAAAAAAAAAAAAGAAGGCTTCACTATGCTTTTGAAAAAAGAAACATTAGTGGAGAGTGTGATATTACTCAGTATTCCCAATTACATTACTTAATAGATGTAGGAGTAAAGTGACTCCAAGCATATATTTCTGCCTTCCCCATATTGTGGCTTATCTGTAGTTTGCCCAATGTATAGTTTACCTAATCTTTCAAATTTTATATTATTTCATAGGATGCTAGGCATGCAGCTGAAGAAGAGATTTATACCAATTTAAACCAGAAGATTGACCAGTTTCTACAACTGGCAGACTACGACTGGATGACGGGAGATTTTGGCAACAAAGCTAGTGATTACCTAGTAGACCTCATTGCCTTTCTACGTAGCACCTTTGCTGTATTCACACACCTTCCTGTAAGTGACAGTTGCTCTTACTTTGTGCATAATATAGAAAAGCATTTCCCTTAAGGTCTAATTTAGTGAGGTTGTTAGTTTCTGATTTAATTAGTCAGGAAGTTATTTAGTATGTAAAAGATCACACTATAATTTTCAACTCCTAATGAGGATCAGAGACTTTTTCCATAATTTTTTCATTTACTTTTGTATTTTATTTATTCTGAAAATGGTCCCTAACATCGTGTCTACTTATCTTCCTGGTAACTTGAAGGTAATTAGTACACAGACATAATCAAAGCTTTGGTAGAGATAAAAGAGAAATTTAGGAGTTAGAATTTCAGATGTCCTGCTTTCAACTCTAGAATTTCCGTTTAATTTTTTTTTTTTTTTTAATACACTCAAATTCTCTGGAGAAATTCTCTTTTTTTCTACTTTTTTTTTCTGTATTTTTGCAAACATATTAGTCTGCCATTTTAAAGTCATTGTTTGCTAACTCTATTGTATAATATACCTGGATCTGTTTGATTTTTCTCTTGATTATTGGTCTTGATTATGTAGTCTTGCTTTATACAATTCTGGTATTTTTTGATGGATGTTAGATATTGTGTTTAAAACATGTAGAAGTTTCACATGATATTATCTTCTAGTCACCTTTCCCTTTGCTAAGTTGTTTGAATGAGTGGGTGGATGGTGGTTTGAGGCTGATCATGAATTCAGTTTTGGTTGCCTCTGTGACTACGATGTGGTTCTGAAGGGCTTTATAAAGAACATGACAGGTTGTTGTATGTTCAGCACCAAGAGCACTATGGAAATTCCCACTTTTCAGAGAAACCTTATATTTTCAGCCTTCTGCCTTCTGCCTTCTTTAGTTTCAAAATTTGACAGATATCTTGAGAGAAAGTCTGATTCTGTATTTGGGACCTTCCACTTCTCTGCTTCTAGTCACACATAACTGCCAAAAGCATATCTGAGTTTTTTAAATCCTAACAGACTCTCTGTTAAGAGCCCAAGTCTAGATTCTTTGTGGTACCCAGAGCAGCGTTGCCACCAGCAAAAAAAAAAAAAAGTGCTTGGAGATTGTCAGTGTCAATTTACCACTCCCTTAAAAGCTTTCAGCTATGGATCTTCTCCCGAGCAAATCATTTTTCTGAAACACTTTGAGACTGTGGGAAATTTTAACTTTCCTTTTCCAAGATTTTGAGTCTTTAGTCTCCTCTGCTATATAGCTTTAGAATTCACAAATGTTTTAAGGAGAAAATTGGCCTTCAAATCTTCAATTTTGGTACTCTACCCCATGCATGCAGCAAAACCTCCCTGGTTTCTTTCACCCCAGGCAGTAAGTTTCTGTGTGAATCTAACAGATTCTCAATCTGTTGCCTATGTTCAGGTTTAGCATATGCCCCCAGGAACAGCTGTAGATCCTCAGCTCACCTTTGAAAGGTACTACCTTCCCTGCAATTTTATTCCTTTTTATCCTCATTGCTTCACTGCCTTCTGATGTCTTTGGACTTATGTAAGTTTTTCCAACTGAACTTTCTAGTTGTTCTTACTGAGAGAACTGGCCTACATAAAATAATGTCTTTTTTTTTCTTTTTAGCCTCATCCTGTTACCAAAACCATACAAAAGTAGCCCAAAAAGGAAAATCCAAACTAATCTTACTTAAAATTATGGATTTAAAATATAAATAAATAAAATTGTTGCAAATGAATTTTAAAGCATTTTTAGCAATTATCTTAGCACTCACATAGTATCTATTACAGAAATACAAGGATGGTTTGATATTTAAAAATCTTTTAAAACAGTTTATCATATTATTGAGAGAAGGAGATAAAGCATATAATCAAGTTGATATATTCAAAAAGGATATTGCATAGCATATACCTTTCATGCCTAATTAAAATAAAACAAAACACAACCTATTAAAAAATAAGCAGTATAATATTCTAAAAACATGTTAAAGAACATCTGTTTGAAATTCAGCATCCTGCATAGATTTAACAGTGGAATACTAAAAACATTCATTCACATTAACATCAGAAGTAGGGCAAAAATTATTCTTCTCAACATTGCTTTAGAAGGTTTATGAAATAAGGTAAGAAAAAGAAATGTAAATATTCTAATGGAGTCTCAAGCTGGTGTACATGGTTAATGTACTCAGCTGATAACCAAAAGCATGGTAGTTTGAATCCATCCAGAAACACCTTATAAGAAATCTGCATGGGACATCCCAGTTATTTGGCTTAAGAACATGTTTAGTGCTTCTGTTCTACTTCCTAATTTCTTGCATAGTGCCTGGGGTCTTAAAAGCTTGCAAGCAACCATCCAAGGCACTGCAGCTGGTCTCTTTCACCTGGAACAAAAGAGGAAGAAGGAGAATCAGAAATAGAAGGAGACTATGGAATGTGTGACTAACTGTCCCATGAAAAACTGCCTCCTTTGCCTTGAGACTAGAATTGGATGGTGCCTGGCTACCATTACTGAACATTTTGATCAAAGACTCTATAGAAGAATCCTGAAAAAGAAAGAGGTAAAATAGGGAACAGATTTTCAAATTCTCATGTACTCCAGACTTCTTGGAGCCATGAAGATTGTATGAACCCCTAAAACTGTTGCCCTGAGATTATCTTTAAACCTTAAACCAAAAAATATCTCCTAAAGTCTTCATAAAGGCTGACAATAGTTTACCTTAACAACTGAAAATTGTCTGCCTTGAGCATTAGGCTCTTTTAAGAACTATCTCTGTGGGATCAGGGCATTTGACTGCTAACTAGAAGGCTGGGGGTTCAAACCCACGAGCCACTCCTCAGAAGGAAGATTGGGCAATCTACTGCTGTAGAGATACTGCCTCGGAAACCCAAGGAAGGGTTGCTATGAGTCAAATCTCGATGGCAGTGAGTTTGGTGTGTTTTTTTTTTTTAATGGAATCAAATTGACAACAACAACTTGAAATATTAGTTGGGAACTCTTAGAGGCAGTGAATTTATGTTAATGGGAGAAGAACAACTCAGAAAAGGCGGGTGAGAATTGTTTCACAACTTGAAGAATGTAATCATTGTCACTAAATGGTACATGTAGAAATGGTTGAATTGGTTTATTTTTTCTCTTTATATTCTTGTCTTGGTTCTCTAGTGCTGCTATAACTGACATACCACAAGTATATAGCTTTAACAAACAGGAATTTAATTCTGTTACAGTTTAGGAGGCTAGAAATCTAAATTCAGACTACTCTTTCTAGGGGCTGGGTGAAGGCCCCTCAACCTCGAGCTTCAGCTGTGCCTCTTAATCCAGGCCCACTGGAGTAAGCTAAAGGCTTCTTCTGACTCATGCAACTGCTGGCTGCTAAAGCTGATGAACCCAAGATGGACAGAATGGTACAATCTCAAAATTGACAACATAGAGACCACTAGTTATCCGAATATGCCAAAAAGCTAGAGACTGTCCTTAAAGCTTTCTCAGATATACTGGAAGTACACCTTGAAGGCAACTAATTAGCTGCTTACAGCAGATTCTATCATAGATTGATTCTAATCTCATCATAGGGAATAACTGTATCCAGCTCCTGAGCACTCAAAACCACAGCCCAGCCAAGTTCACACACAACCTTAACCACCACAGTTCTCAACAACAACAACAAAATAAATTATTATTATTATTTTTAAATAAAAGAGGATTTGTGGGGGACATTAGGCTCAATTGGCATAACATGCTACACAAAAACATTGTTCCACATCCTACTTTAGTGAGTAGCAACCGAGATCTTAAATGCTCACAAGCAGCTATCTAGATGCAGCAATAGGTCTCTCCTTCTCCAGAGTAAAGAAGAGTGAAGAAAACCAAAGCCATGTGGAAAACAATTAGTCCAAGGGACTGGTGGACCATGATCCTCAGCCTATATGACCATGGGATCGTAAGAACTAGATGGTGCCCAGCTACCGCTGTCAACCACTCAGAGGGGGATCAATGCAGGAGATCCTGGATAGAGTGGGAGGACAATGTGCAACAAAACTCAAAATCATAAAAAAAGACCTGGTTTGGTGGTCTGATAGAGCCTGGTAAGACCCCTAAACTATGGTCCCTAGCCACTCTTCAGGTCTGGAACTGAATTCACTCCTGTGGCTTCTAGCCAAACAATAGATAGGCATATGGGGTGAACATTTACATCAGGTAGGTAGACTCCTTGGAGCAATCAATCATGGTAGAAGAGAAGGGTAGTGTTTGCACAGGGAGACAGTTTAGGGGCAGAGTGAACGGGAAGGAAGGACACAAGAGGTAACTATGGGGAAGAAGTGGGAAAAGAGCTGTTTCATTGTGGGGAATTGCAATCAATGTCATGAGATAAAATGTATATGAACTGCTATATGGAAAATGAATTTGCTCTGTAAACTTTCACCCAAATCACAGTAAAAATTTAAAAAATATATATATTAAAAGAGAAAGGCCTGGTGATCTACTTCTAAAAAATCAGCCATTGAAAACCCTCTGCATCACAGTTCTTCTCTGACACACATGGGGTCACCATGAGTTGGAATCACCTTGATGAGAATTTTTTTTAAATGAAACGAATATTATCATTATTTATAGATTATTATTGTTTACAGGAGGAGCTCTGGTAGCATAGTGGCTAACGCACTTGACTGCTAACCAGAAGGCTGGCAGTCCAAACCCACCAGCCACTCCTCGGAAGGAAGGTTGGGCAATCCTACTTCCGTAGTGATACTGCCTCGGAAACCCAAGGAGGGGTTGCTATGAGTCGGGCCAACTCGACGGCACATAACAACAACAACAACAACATTGTTTACAGGTAGTTCCCAATTTACAATGGTTTCATTTGGATGACTCCATCATAAGATGGTTCTGACTGAAGTTAAATACTCATTTTGTGGTGGGGTTTCTCATTATTATTTCCTGTTATTATCAGTATCTTTATAAATCATAATGTTCAACATCTGTGAGTGAACATCTGAGAATGATAACATCAGCAAATTATGTGTGCTGCAGTAATGTATGTAGTACACGTTGCTAACAATGAAATATATAAAGAACAACAACAACATACGTCATAAGTATGGTT